CATACAGCAATCAGTATTTTACCAAATGTGGGGAGGGGTAAGTGGGAAGGCGTACATCAATAGTTAACCCTATGCAATCTTTAACTTCACAATCCCTAGGGGCAAGCAGGACAGGGAAATACCACCTGCTTCCTGCTCCAGATCCCGTGACCCTGTGGTTAGCACAAAGGGCTATTCTTTCTGTAAGATTTCCTGTTTGCCCAGGGGCTAAACCTGCCAAAAGTCACGTATGTAGTCTAGTGGGATTTTTCCACCGAGGCAAAGGCTAAGGTTGAGGGCAGCCATCTTATGCAGGCCCAAGCAGTCTCTCACATAACTGCATTGTATACCTAAAATGTACCAATAAAGATTCAGTTTATAATAATGATAAAAAAAAAAGGATTTCCAGAAAAACAGGCCTCAGGAGCAAAGGCTCCAGTTTTAAACAGGTTCCTCAGCAAAAGTAGTGGCAAAGTTAATAAGACACAAAAGGAAGAAGGAAGTGAATTCTGCTGCATTTCAATGACAGAATTTATGAAAATTTTAAAATAATATTTTGAGGCTTTGTTAATTGTGAAATACTTGCAGTCAAATATCAAAAAAAATACAGAAAGTATTGATAATATATATTAACTTTGAAATATGTTAATGCCTACATTAATTCAGAAGCCAAATGAAAAGAACTATTACAGTATTAAGATAGATATTTTTCCCATTGTGATGGGTGGGCTACTATCTTTTTTATATTTTTACTGATTTTATTCATTTTAGCAAAAGACTACAACAGTTTTTGCAATTAAATATTATTTAATAAAGCAATTATCTCTTGTGTTTCAATAATAATAAAAATACCACTTGAAAATTTAATAAATGTTTATTATGCTCCACGTACAGTGGATCCTTGAGTTATGACCAGTGTCACATACAAACAACTTGGGTTATGACCAGAACTTTAGTTTTAATGAAAGTTAAAAACTTTTGACCAAAGTCTTAAGTTAGAAGCCAAATACTGGTCTTTCCTGTATGGGGTTAAGTGGGAAATCCTGGGCCAATGTCTCTCTAAGGACACTGAGATCTTCTTGTGTATAGGAGAGAGACTTTGAAGACTGTGGAGAGGAGCCTGAGCCTTCAACAGACGCTGTGGTTGATGACATCATCACTATAGCAGAGTCCCTAGGCTTGCAGGTAGACAGTGGAGATGTTGAGGAACTGGTGGAGGAACCTTCAGAATTGTCTACAGAGGAACTTACTTCAGAAACTCTGGCTGAGCAACAGAGAATGGCAGCTGAGGAGCTTTCTGAAGAGGAGGAGGAGGACTATCAACAATCAGTGCAGCAAAGTTCTTTTGAAATAAAGGACATCCTGAAAAAATGGGCAAACCCAAAGATCCAAAAAAGACTCAATCTTCTCTACAATCTTTGTTGGGAATTTCTTAAATGTAATCTTTCCAAGCTTTGTATAGAAAAAGCCATTTGATACATTCACTTTCTTAATGACAATGTCACATCATACTACAGAATAGTGTTAAAGAAAAAGGCAGAAACAGTCTTAAGCCAGTTTTTGATTATGAAAATGTTGATACCTACTGAGCCAGAAGCAGGTCCTAGTGGGCTACAGACTCTCCCAAGGAGAGAAAGCACACCACAGATCCAGATTCCTGATGTTCTTATGGAAGGGGACCCTCTTTCCAAACAATAACCACCTTTCATTTCATCCTCCCTTCCTGCAAGCCAATGATGTTAACTTGAATATAGTATGAAATTGTTTCTGGTAAACTAGGCACATTTTATAACTTTTTGGTGACTACACTGGGAAAATTATTGGTGTTTCTGGTAAATGGCACACATTATGAGCCCTTTTTTATTATGAAAAAGTTAGTTAAGGGGTGCTTTGGGAGTTGGAAATGCATTATGGGTATGTCCATTATTTCTTATGAGAAAAAGTCTTTACTTACAACCAAGTTGAGTTACTACCAGCCCTTGTGAATAAATTTGAGTTCATAAGTCAAGGGTCCACTGTACTCTTATGAATACTTTATGTTCATTATTTTTTTGCATGTAATAAGGTAAATTCATTTCAGGCTCTAAAGATATTTGAGCAATTATAAATATAGGAATTGAGACAGAAAGTCTTTCCATACCTCAGCCACATCTGATGGGGTTATAAGGGTGCTTAGAGTCACAGATCATTAATGAAAATATTCACATTATCTTTTGAAGAATTTGATGTATTTTCAAATATAAAGTTACCTGAAAGAATATAATATGAAACCCATCTATAAAACTCATTTAAAATTTGAAAAGTGTTTAACCCAAACATATTACTCTACAAATATGTGGAGAAAATGTATAAAAATATACGATGATGCCTTTTACCATCACCATTTTGCAGCACACTTACTCAGATTTTCCTCAGTGCTTGTCTGTTACTTTTCCAGGCTCCACAGCTGCTGGCTTGGTGACTTGAGATTAGATGTCTTTGCCCCACCATTCCTGCCTGTCAGAGGGATATCATGATACCATCAATCTCTGGATTGGGAAGAAGAATAAATGACATAGTACAAGGAAGCATTTAGAAGAGTGTTTGCAAGTTCTCAATAGCTATTATATCGGATGCTAAATGCAAGGCTTATCACACACAAATAAAACTGATCTTGATTTTAAAATATCCTTCTCTGAAAGTTACAAAGCCCAGGGCAAATATAAGTTGCTCCCATTTCCACCCGTGGCTCTGTGTGGTATTTCCTCCAGCAACTTCACTCCAGTCTCCTCCTGAGGGGATCCCAGAGACTAGGCATTTTGATCTCCCCCAGTTATAGTCAGCATGGTGATGTCTCTATTAATTATGCAACAAAATGCTCCATTTGTTTCATTTCTAAGATGAAGTATGAATAATCGCAAAGTAGGTCAGTTCAGCTTTTTAACACTTTCATGAATTTATTTTCAAATTAACTTTATTTTTTGACTGGCCCATTGTATTTCTGTATATTCATAAGGCACCATGTGGTGCTGCCATTGATATGTACACTGGCAATGATCAAGAAAAAACAGATCTATCACCTTAACCTTTTGCATTTCTTCACGGTGCACACATTCAAAGTCCTTTCTCCTAATCATTTTGAAATGTACAATACATTCTTGCTGCCTACTGTCCGTATTCTGTGCTTCTGAGTCCTATTTACCAATCACATTAACTGAGGCTAATTCTTATTTTGGATGCAAAAGTTTTATGCTCACATCTCTGGAGCAATGCTTTTACAGTCTGAAAATGAAGGAGGGGACAGGTAAATTTGAAACAGAATTAGGTGAACTCCACCTCCAGCCTGCTCTGGCACACATTCCCATATCCAGTTCATTGGCCATGTTCCCCCTCAATTCAACACACTTGGAACGTAAGGGTCCCCAAACTACATCATTCTGCAGCTGGTCATGAAGGCCCCAGAGGCCACCTGACCCACTTCCCCTTCCCCTACCACATCACACCACTTCCTCCTCCTGCTGACCTGGGCCTCCAGCAACCAGGCTCCTCACGCCGTGTCTCTATCTGGGGACAAATATGACACAAGGCAGAACGTTACTGTGGAGTGCATTTGTGTTTTTCTCTCTCTGCACTGTGTTGCTTTGCAATGATCCCAACATAGCTGAAGGATGATGGAGAAGCTTTACCATTTCCTCTTCCCTGTCAGATGTTCATAGGAAATACCATCCTTTGTTAGCAGTTGAACTTAGAAAGTTGCATTAGATATGACTTGAATCTTAATTCCCAGGACAAGAGTAAACATTACTTGTATTCTGTCCAGTAAATCCAGTTATACACTGGTACCAGTAGAAGTCAAATTAAGGGACTCTGACATGTATCACTGCAATAAAAATCCTGATCTGAGGTCACTTAAGGTGAAAAAGAAAAGTTCAGCCAAGAAAAATTTTCAAATGCCTACTTCAGTCCTTACTTAAAATTTGATAGAAAAAAACATGTAGCCATTTACTACTGTGCTGCTTGGGGCTCAGGGCACTAGACATGCCAAGGTTTCCCACAGGGTAGCTTCCTTTGGATCTCTGTCCACCATATTCTTCCCACCTTGGCAAACTCAAGGGGCTCTTGGCTAGGCTGTAGCCTCTATCTTGCCTTTCCTCAGCCTTTCCCAAGACTTCTGGGAAGCCATCTTGGGTCATGCTCAGTACAAGGCCTGGACCATTTCATTACCAAATCTTCATTTACCCCTACTTTCCAATGAAGGAAGGCTCTGTCTGCTAACCAGCAGACACAGGTTGACAGCCCATTCACATCACCATCCCAGAGACTTCCACTGTCTGCCAGCCTCTAAGCCTGAGGGAGAGACTCAGTGCTTTTCGGGAATCCCACATATAATTATCACACCACACATGCAATAAAACCAGTATGTATCCGTTTTATAGATAAGAAATTAAATCTGAAAGAGATAAAGTCATTGACTGCAGAGAAGTTGGTTTGTTTTTTTTTTTAATTTAACTGAATCATAAGATCATCCTGCAAATGTAAAGATTACAATTCTACAAACCTGAGTATTTGAGGCACAGCAATTGGGGCAGAGAAATCGTCTTTTTAAGGGGAGGAGGAAGATAGCTCCTTGCTCCTGGTTTCTGGAGGCCCAAGTCAGCAGGAGGAAGTGGTATGACATGGGAGGGGAAGGGTAAGTGGGTCAGGTGGCCTCTGGGGCACTCATGGCCCACGGCAGAATGGTGTAGTTTGGGGGACCTTATGTTCCAAGTGTGTTGAATTGAGGGAAAGCAAGTCCAGTGAACTGGATATGGGAATGTGTGCCAGAGCAGGCTGGAGGCCACTCTGGAGTTCACCTAATTCTGTTTCAAACTTACCTTTTCCCTCCTTAATGGGGGAAAATAAGAACCAAGATGGATTATACATAATAATAAAGTGGAAATTTCCAATGATGGATGTCATTGTATACCTTAAATGTACCAATAAAATTAATTTTTTAAAAAGGAGTATCCTCCTTTCAGAAACTTATTCCCAAAATAGCTAAGGCAAAGTCTAGTTGTTTGTGAGAATAGGAGGCCTGGTTCTTTGACGCACTCTCTGAGAAGTTTCAACACAACCGAACACCTGGAAATAAAAAAAAATGAAAGAGAGAGAGAAAGAGAGACTTAATTCTCAGAAAACCTTTCTTGGTAACTTAGAGGGAGCATAGTTGGTCTATCAGTTAGCCCAGCTCTATCTTTTATCTGCTCTTATCTTTGCCATTTTCCTTGGAGTTTTTCAATGATCATTGCCATAACAGAAATGAGTATTTTGTGAGATCAGTTTCTGGAAAAATTTCCAAACTCTCAGATGTAATGAAACCTGTATTTAAGGACTTCCCAAGGAACCTAACTGATTGAACTGGCAGGACAGAGTTGTCAAACTGCTGGTCATGTCATGAAGCTTTGGCGAAGGCTATGATTTCTGTAGAAGTTGTGACCATTGTGGCAGTTCAAGTGAGCAAGAAGGTATTTGGGGAAGGGACAAAGCTCATTGTAACTTCCCCCGGTAAGTAACTTTTCTGATTTTTTTAACCCTAGTAATGAAAAATGAAAAACAATTATAAAATATAATTACAAAAATATAATTATAAAATATAACAAAATTTATCTCTGCCATATTCTTGGCCTGAGTATTGGGACAGTAATTTTGCAGGTACTATTGACTGGATACAGAAACAGAACTACTTTGCAAGTGATATCTTCCCTTGTCAGTAAGAAGATTGAAATTCCACTTTTAGAATGCACAAACAGGCAGAGTACAGACTAGAGCTAGAAAAAAAATAGGTCTGTATTATGTCTGTAGATTAATGGTATAAGTTTTTGCTTTACTATCCTATTTTCTGTAGAAGGCCTTTATGTAATTGTCTTCAAACTAGTATTTTGTTAATTGCTTCTTTTCTATATTTTGAAATGTGTCATGGTTCTTCTTTCTCCAAATAATCTGCAAAATCTATGTTCTTAATTTTGATCTTGTATGTAAGAAGTGACAAAACTTAATTCTTAGTAGTAACTTACTACAGATCACAAATGATGTCCTCTTTTATTTCTCTAACACTTTGGAAGGTATGTTGAGAACAGTAAAACTTTCTGGTGCTGATTCCATTTATATTGCTAGGAGAATCCCAGTTTACTGGAATTTGTAAGTTCCACTACCATGCCACACCACAGTCCTGTAAAGAATCTTCATGGTATTAAAGCCTTATTTGCTCATTCATGGTTTCATTATTATAGATAATTTTTCTGCTGATTGCCGGAGATAAAAGGGGTAGAAGGGTCGTGGGCCTAATATTCTAAATCCTGCAGATAAGTGCTCTAGGTTTGTACTTGATTGGACCTTACTGTGTTCTTAGGCTGTGCCTTCCAGAAAGGCAGGAGGTCTTGTGTTCATGACTCTTTTCCTTTTGTAATTTGTTAGTAGTTGTTGTTTATGAAAATCCATATATAGTTTCAGCATCCCTAATCCAAAAATGAACAAACAAACAAACAAAAAAACAAAAAACCTCTGAAAACAGAAATACTTCTGCTCCCTAGCATTTTGATAAGAGATATTCAACCTATGTTATTTGGTAGAAAAATTTGATGAAATGGCTCAGTACCGTATTGTTCAAGAGAAAAATAATATTAATGATTGTTTCTTGAGGCCCAGAAGACATACTAAAGAGTTTCTGGCCTTTTCGCATAATTCTATAATCTTTTATAAGAGATCCTATTTTTAGGCATGGTTGTGGATTCCTGTGATGTCAGAACTCCAAAAGTGTGAGGTAGGAAGATCACAAGTTAGAACCTAGCTTGGCCAATTTAGAGACTTAACAAACTCCTGTCTCAAAAGTTTTTTAAAAAGGGGCTGCAGCTGTAGTTCATTGCATGGATTCTGGGTTCAATCCTCGATACTGCAAAAATAAAATAAAATAAAATAGAGAAGTCCTATTATTTCCATTTCACAGAAAAATACTGATTCTTATAAAAAATTATTTGCTTATAGAATGTCATATAAATAGACATGACTACTAATTTATGGCAAAGTTTGGGATTCAAATAAGAGCTGTCTATTCCAAAGAGCCTAGTGTGGACCATTATGCAACATTATCAACAATGTTATGTTTTTATGTTTTTAATATTTCCTCTTCTGTAGTTTGATCTTTTCCATGGACTGTTTCATTGACTAATAAATAAGAGTCCACAATTTGTATTACTATACATGCATGAACACAATGTCACTTCTTCTAATCATGACATTGAAATTACCTCCCCTCCTATAAGATTGTAGAATTCATATTAAATGTGAATTCATTCAATATCAAAATAGGATTCTTAGGGAACTTTCATAAGAATTGCAAGACATTTTGAAATCACTGTACTCAGATTTACTTTTGGATTGGAATCAAATTTGCTAGAAAGCTGCTGTGAGAACTAGAACAGTTATACTAAGTTGCAACCCTCATTGGCACAACTCAGAGCAGCCTCAACATCAAAATAAAGAGCTACAGAAATGCCCATCAGTGAGGACCCTCTGATATGCAGAGCAGAATTAAAATTCAGTGCTCAGGAAACTGTAGGGGAATTTTCAAGTCAAAAGGGGAAATCTTTGAGAGATCATCAGTCATTAAGAATTCATATTCCCAAACAATTCAAACCCTACTACCAATGGGATTTGGATTTAAGAAGAAAGGAATTTATAATCAGCTCAGATATGCATCCTTCTATATGAATCCCCAAGTGACTACAAGTCATATTTAATACAGGCTTATTAAATGATCAGATATAATATTATTATTATCATTGGTTCTCTTTGTAATTGGGTAAATTTTAATTAAATTACACTCTAGGGAAAGAACTGACTTAATGCATGAAAACACTTTAAAAGAAAGAGATTTAGAAGCTTCTGGAAAATCCTGAGAAAAGATAAAATCATTCTTTCCAACTTATGTGACAGAACATACATAATCCACATTGCCTGGCAGAGTGGGCTTATTCTTAAATTTCTGATTATACTCAGATATGTAATTTTTATGAGCTTTATCTTTTTTGACTGTTGGTGGGAAAGATTTTATTGTATTTATATAAATTATTGAAAAATATTGGCCAAATGGGAGATTTTTAAAAAGGTTTTTCAGGGCCAGGGATTGAGCCCAGTGGTGCTGCTGCCAACCCTGCAAGCTCAAGGTCCTGAGTTTGATCCCTGGTACCAAAAACAAAACAAAACAAAATGGCTTTCAGGGAGTACGTGAATACACTGCAATCAAGGTCATCCTGGAACAAAATTTATCCTCACAGGTAAATTTTCTTTTTCTCCTGTAAAGTGGGAGGAAGAGGTGGTGATGCAGGTGCCACAGGCTCCAGTGCAGAGCTGGCTCAAAGTTCTTGGAATTGCCCCTGGTTTTGTCCCTTATCACAGTGGGATCCCCAGAGATATTTCTCTAGTGATTCTACCTGGAACAGCCAGGCCAGGAGTTATAAGCTAGGCTTTAGCATGACCTGATGGAATGTGGTTTGAGGTTGAAGAGTCGGGAAGAAAATTTGGAATTCATAGGTGTTGTGCTGCAGATTGGGAAAACAGCCATTATTTTAGGGCAGCACAAGTAAAGCTCCTGCATGTTCTGACTCTCATTTCTGCTTGAGCAAGACTCCTTTGATTAAGTCACAGTGAAGACCAGTGAGGGTCTTGTGAAGTTTGGTGTATGCAAAGCAGATTTCCTGTGATGATGAATTGTAGGCATATTAGAGTAAAGTAGGTGCAAATGGAGGATAGAGGAATGAACTTTACTGCCATGGGTTTAATTGCAATGGCAAAATGCTGAATTTCTTTGAGTAAAGAGAAGGGCTTGGTCCTATGAGATTACACTGTCATGCTGGCACATGCAGAGCAATGAAATTACTCCTAATTAGCAATGATGATGATGATGATGATGATGATAACCTCTTAACTTCTTGGTTATTGATAGCAATAACCATTTCTTAAAATAAATTTTCTTTTTCATGTTTTATTAGATTTTTTGTTCTCACTTCAGTGATGGCCATGTTGGATTAATTTATACTAACAGCATTGTTTGGAGAGTAAATAAAGCACCAAAAAACTTAGTCATTTGGGTTTCTTAGCCACAAAACTTGTTATGAGCAAAATGGACCAGAAACAGAACCCTGATTTCTACAGAGTTTCAGGTCATCAGGGTCCTCTAGGATTCGATGAACTCAGGGACACTAAACCAGTCTAAGGTTTTTGATACGGGTCGAATCACTGTGGACACTCAGAAAAATCTTTGGTGAAGGAACAAAACTTATTGTCACAGGTGGGTATTGATGGGATATATATCCAAGGTAATAGAGGGAGGGCAAGAAATGATCTTGTTAGAATAATGTCAGAAGGTTTAGGAATAAGAGGGATGGGAAGAGAATTTGATACAGAAATCTCAGAAGACATTTTTAACACAGATGGTTATCATAAAGGAGAACAGGGATAACATTGTGCAGAAACTCTGATAGTATTTGGCTTTGTCTGCAAGTGAACTCCTATAAAGCCCTTCCATATAATGTATGTAATTATATCATTAAAATATTTGGGACAATTTTCATTATTATAGATAAATCTGTGATTGACTTAGTAGAGTCTATTTACTTATTCACTGCCAGGAGTGTTGAGGGAGAGTCTGGGCTTTGCTGGGAGGAGGACCTGTATCTGTGGCTTCACTTTCTACGGCATAGTGAATTTGGGGGATCTTTCCCTGGCCCTAGTTTCCTTATCTATCAAATGGGGTAACAGTAGGAATTCAGTGAGGTTATGTGATAAATGAGGTAATGGGAATAAAGTTCTTAGTATATTTTCTTTTTCAATTTTTTTATTATGATAGTGGAGGAGGGGAGAAGGAAAGGAAAAGGGATTTAAAAAAAGAATTGAAGAAAAAAATGGACATAGAGCTTCTGCAAATGAGAATATTTCCTAATAAGTGCCCAGTAATTGTTCCAATTCATATGTAAAGGGACAATTCTCTCCATTATAGAGAGTTGTTTTTAGTCAGTTACATTGACTCCAGAGAAGAATTTCCTGGATTCAGTTGTACTTTTAGCTGCTCAAAAGGAAGGTTATCTTGAAATTCATTAAGAAAAGTTGGGTCTGGAGATGTTGCTTTCTTTTAAGCAGTTCTTTCCATCAGTTGGCAAGAAAAATTGCACTAAAATGGGTTTCAAAAATTTTTGTGTTGATTTTCATGCTTTAGATTTAATTGATAATTTCTCTGATAGTCACATGTATTTGTCCTAAATTTATAACCAATTAGGCATCTGCCCATATTTATCAGAAAACAATTTCAAATTCATATAGTGAATGGTCAACTTATAAAACCAATTATATACAGCTTGAAATTGATCATAAATCTGAAATATATATTTAAATATGAAAGAGCTGAACTATTTGATGAAAGAAAAAAGCAATGGTTAAATAAATTCTCACATGTAGATTTAAAATATACTTTCAGTAGAAAATACAGTAGGTATTTGGTATGTTTATATAGAATTCATATTATTGCATCTTAAATTATAAACAAGTTAGGCAATTTAACTTAATGTATTGCTTGATTATGAATATGAATATACTTACATGAGAAGACAGGTTCATTTTTTACAATAAATGCAACATATGGTAGCAATTATATGCATTATTTAAATAATCAGAATGTTTCCTATTCCATACATCTTGAAAAAAGTTTTGACCTGTAAAATGCTCTTAATAAGTACATTTAAAAATAAAGTTTTAAATGACTTTACTTTTAAACAGAACACATGTACTTAGCTCTATAGTTGAGTATACTATTTTATGCCTTGTTAACTATTACATTTAGAAAGTTTTGGAATTTCCAGATTGACTTTATCTTCAGAAGAATGAAATTTAAAGAATTTTAGCTAACAAAAATGATAGGAGGCAGTGAATAGTGTGGTATTTCATAGAACATTTTTAGGTTTATTATTTATTCAGTTTATATAAGGAATCAAAACATTCCCATGAAAAAAACAGAAGTTCCTAAGATGAAAATTAGATATCTTAATATATGGACTAGATATTCAAATTATTAATGTGAAATTTAAAAATTAGTCCTGTCTCTAGTAACATGCTTTTAAAATTAAAAATAGAGTATGTGACTGGAGAAATACACAGTATCTTAGTATGCGCAATAAGCATGAAATTGATATAAGCATTTTATAATCCAATTAGGCTTATACCATGCTTAAAATATTAACGTTACATGCTTATTGATTTTGTATAAAAATCAGAAACTTTAATGGTGCAAAAATCATCAAGAATTATTTTCCTTTCATTCTCAAATGAGAAACCCAGTCCTTATTTCTTAAGAAATTTTTTGTTGATTATTATAATAACTTCAAACTTGCCAAAATGGTATTAGCAAAGCATATGAGTTTCAATTAGAAATTAAATTGAAGCATTTCAACATTTATAATTTTAGTCATTAGGTTAAAAATTAATAGATAACAAACTAAAACTCCAGATAATACCTTTAAGCCTTTGTAAATATATAATTAATTATTTGTTATATACCTTGATAACATGTTTGTAAGAACCTCTGGAATTATATATATATATACCAGCAGTTGAAAAAAATGTCTGGGCTCCAAAATAGTTAAGAACCATATGGGTTAGATATTAATTTTGGAAGAGACACTGAGAATTGTGAATATGTGAATGTATAGTTATGTGTAGACCCTCTCCTTAGCTGGGTCAGTTCTTATTAAAGCAAGTATAAAAAACATGCCTAGCGCATTGAGTCATGCTTGAACTTCCAAAGAAATCTTAAAATTGAATGTGCTTCTGGTGGACATTTTCTAAAGCAAGACAAAATATTGATAAGTGCACTCATTGATAAGATTAAGATGCAAGCATTTCAGATAATATTCAGGAAACTGTAGTAGAAGTCATGGCAATCTTGCTAAACTGGCTTCTAAAATAAAAACAGTGAATAATTTAGAGGCATAGCTTTAAGTACCACCTGAACCAAAAACCAGTAGTTCAGATGTGGAAATAATATGTTGAATAATGATAGGGATTATTTAGAGAACTGCAGAAACGGGCTTGAAATTTACATTTGAAGCTCAAATACACATGGAAATAGATTCCTAGTAAAAACAAAAGATGGGGTATTGCTAAATGTAAAAAATGGAAACCTTCCTCTTAAGAAATAAGACAAATAGAGTGCATCATAGAATTGGCCAAATGAAGTGTGTGTAGAATAGAACTGCACAACATAAGAGTGGCAGTTATTTAGTCAGACAGCAGAAATAACAAAGAATAGGAAAGGGAAGCTCCTTGGAAGGAACCATAGATTCTTATCTCTAGAGAGACCATCAAGGGATTCGGTCTCCCTTTCCTGACCTCTAAATATGAAAAAGCATAAGAAATAAAAACAAGAATGTGTTCATGAATATTGGAAACTTTGGTTAAAAACAGCTATGTTAAACCCCAGTGTAACATGTGCATAAAAACAAGTTTCCACCAGGATCAGTCACTTGTGTCTTTTGGAAAATTAATTAACATCTTGAACTTCTTTGCATGGCTGTACAATAAGGACTGTAATCACCACTTCATGACAGATGGGGGCTGAAAGGCCACCATGGTGGGCACTCATTCAATGGCCCTTTATCGTCCTATTGCTGTGTATGGGGTTGTTTCAAAACATTCAGTACTTCTGCTGTTCTAGTAACTATTGATATTCTATTTCCCTCACAGATAAAAGCTTTAACAACGCTATTTCTCCCAAGCCCACTGTTTTTCTTCCTTCAGTGGCTGAAACAAATCTCCACAAGGCTGGGACATATCTTTGTCTCCTGGAGAATTTTTCCCCTGATGTGATTAAGGTATATTGGAAAAAAACAGATGACGATAGGATTCTAGAAGCCCAGCAGGGAGATACCATGAAGACTAATGACACCTACATGAAGTTTAGCTGGTTAACTGTGACTGGAGATGCCATGACTAAAGAACACAAATGTATCGTCAAACACGAGGCTAATGGAGGAGTTGATCAAGAGATTTTCTTTGATCCCATAAAGGAAGGTATGTGTAAATCAACATAAATATTATATAACTTTCTCAAAAAGTTATTTCAAAGAGAACACCTTACCTTTTTTGTCATGAAATAATGAAAATTTGTCATGAAATTCTAAAATGCTACTTTATTTATTGGTAGCACAACTACCCTGTTATTTTCCTATAGAATTGCAAAAGAGCCTTTGGAGAAAAAAAGTGGAAAAATTTAATGAAACTCAGCTTCAGTTTCATTATTCAAAATATTAAGATCACATGGCATTTCTTAGAATTGCTAAATGGATTCAGTGAACAACACAGGTTAAGTGCTAAAGTGGCAGTGCCACCTTTGATGATGTTGATAGGGAAATAAGAATTACTATGCATCTTTCTTGAATGTTCTGCCAAGCAAGCAAAGTCACTAACTTCAAACCATTTTACAAAATTAAACTGAATAAAAAATGAGTTCTTGGCTTACAAAGATTTCAGATGAAAGAGTAAGAGCCTGGCTTAGTAAAGAATGGAGTAACATAGGGCTGGGGACTTAGTTCAGTGGTTCTGCTGCAAGTCAAGGTCCTGAGAGTTTGACCCCCAGTAGCAAAAAAAAAAAAAAGAAGAAAAAGAATAGAGTAATGCTGGCCACACAGGTCCATGGTCCATGGCCTTGAGATTTTCTGATTTTTATTTTATACAATGCTGTTAGACAAAATTTAATAATTAAAGATTGAGGCTGAATGACATGTATAAGCATGCCTGCATTCTCCATAAAGAGTGTATTTTTTTTTGCCATTGGCAAATATGGCTCTAGAAATGTTTACTGGACACTTGTGCATGCAGAAGTAGTTATAGGTACAGTGAGGAGTGTACACTTTTTCCAAATCACTCAGTGTCACTCATGATTCAGGCATGATGTCTGAAAGCAATCCCTTCAATGCAATGAGGGACTTATCTACACAGGTGGTCGAGGGCCCAGCAAGATCCAGCTATGTGCTGTGTGACATGATCTTGAATGTTATATTAATCAGTAATCCAAAGGCCTGTGTTGTGCATCATCCTGATTCCCCAAGTGAGACTTTATCCTCTGCACTCCTTAGTTTCTGCAAGGGTCAATGAGATTGGAAGTTATTTGGGAACTGGCACAATTTGGAATGATATGCTTGAATTCTTGCAGATTGTCTTGGACAATATACTTCCATGAGATAAAAAAGAAAAAAAATGTATCCTACATGAACGTCCACTTCTTAACATTCAGAAATATAAGATATAAATGATATTTACTGAGTTACATTGAATAAGACCAATTATTTCTATAATTTTAGCACTCATATTTTCAATGTTTTCCTGTCTCTTCATGGATTTATACTTATTCATTATGCACATATATCTGTATGCAAATAAATATATCATATATAAAACATTCACTGATATGTATTCAGATGTTTATATGCAAATACAGATCTGATATATGTATATTCATAAATACCTTTAAAATATGAGCATGAATAATTGACTAAGTTCTTACTCTCATTTGCTTTTCAGTTGTCACTATTGATTCTGAAGTTTGTTTCAAACATGAGATGGGTAAGTTTTAGTATATGCTTGCCTTCACCTCATGATTTATTTTTATTCCTCTTTGATCACTGTCACTTTTGAACTGCCTTGGCTTAAATTTAAAAAATCAGAATGGCTAGATGATGCAGAATAGACCTAGTGAGTGATATTTTAAATTAATGCATTACCTCCAAGCCCTCATGTTACTATGGCAAACTACCAGTTTACATATAAGATGACTTCATTTACAAGGTTCACTGGTATGCTCTGAACTATTTCAACAAAGGGACTTCATTCATGTGTCTCTTGCTTCTAATGACTGGGAAAAGAATACCAACTTAATTCTGGGCTCTTTAAAAATATCTTTCAGCTAGTCACTAGTGATAAGAACTGCCACTTACTGTTTTTTTTTTTGGGGGGGTACAGTACGCCTTAGGCTCTGTTCTGCATGCACTTTTTTGTTTAATTCTCAAAATGCTTCTGTCATATGGTATAATACTTTACCATCATTTTATAGACCAGGGCAAGGAACTAAAATTAAGTCAAAGCCACATCTGGAATTTCCCCTCATGCCCTCAAGCAAAGAGTTCATATCCTTACTCTGTGTTCTTCCTCTGTAATGTAGTCATAGAGCAAGAAACTCCAAGGCCAAGGCCCTGGAAGAGGATGGACATGTGGCAGGGTGGGAAGTGCATGGCTCCTAAGCCCCACAGACTGGGTGCAGCCCAGGTCTCTCAATGGCCAGCTGCAGATTCATTTGTGATACTTTGCTCATTTGCCAACCATAATAATTACACTGAACTCATGTCACTGAAGACATAAGGAGCCAGGTGAGAAACTTCCACCATAAGGATTCATTTAGCAGGCTCAGGATCAGTATTAGTTTCTGGTCCTTCCTCTGTACATAGGCACCAAGAACATTACTTTCAGCAATGGTGCTGACCTTTCCTCCGTATCAGCATTAATGGCTGCTGCAGGAGGTAAGGGTGGTGGGTAACCTTTCCCTGAACAAGGGCAAGGAGTTAGGAACACATTTCCTGAGACCCCTTTCTACACCATGAGCTCCTAATTCTTGAGTTCTATCTCTTTGAAGACAGACCATGTGAAATGAAAATTTCTCCAGGAAGAGACTTGTCCTGTGACTCATTGTGTGGCCACTGTGGCCCACTGTCGTAGTCTTTGGTTATGACCTGACATCACATATTTCTTATAAAATTTCAGAGGATCACAAGTGCTATTACCTAGTAGTATCACAGCCACAAAGAGAAACATGCGTAAAGGACAGGGGAGTGTTCTACAATCAAAGAACATCTCAGGGAATGTGGAATAACTGCTTTCATTCTTCTGTGGCGTCCTCTTCTATAATCTCCAGCCACCTCTCTGGGGTGATCACCACATTTCCATAGACTGTGAATTCCTACATATAATGTTGTAAGCAAGGGGTCAGAAGCTTCTAAACAGCAATGGAAACATAATTAAAATTCTGATGTCTGGTGCATTTATTACAGTTAGAAATGCAGAATCACAGAGTAGATAAGAATATGTTCAGCCAGGCATGGTGGCACATGCCTGAAATCCTAGCACTTGATGTCTGAGGCAGGAGGATTGCCATGAGTTTGAGGCCAGCCTGAGCTACATAGCAAAACCCCTTCTCAAAAAAACGAAAAACAAAATAAAACAAACAAAAAACTAAATCAAACAAAAACAAACACGAAACCAAAACCACTAGAATATGTTTTTAAAAGTTGGGCCGAGGATTTAGCTCAGTGGTGCACAATGTCCTGAGTTGATCCCCGGGACAAAAATCAAAAACAAACAAACAGTCATATTAATGGATTAAATTCTCAGGTTGTTACTAAAACACATGATATCAGGCAAATTATTGCTATGTTGTCAGTTTGTTTGTTTGCAAAACAGCAATGAAAATAACCTCTCCTCCTCTCCCATAGGCTGTTATAACATTAAATAAGAATAAGGATTTACATATATAAAGCTTTCCAAATAACATTTTATATTGTGTTAGTGTTTATTTGATACTATTTGTTACTACTTAGAGACACGCTGAGGTCAAAGAAATTCTACTAATTATCCCAAATGTTTTCCCCTGTTGGACTACTTTATTAAAAACGAACCTGATATTTAATATTGAGACAGTTCTAAGTGAAATTAGTTTAGGTTGTTAATCGCGTTGAGTTGCAGGCTGAATCTCGCCCTGCCCTCCGTGTCCCAGTGGAAGCGGCAGATGACCTTTGGCTTTTGGGGTGTAATGGGTGGTGTCGCTTCCGTGCAGGTCACCAGAAATTAACACCTGCGACACCTCCCCATGATGTGTTCCGCGCTGTCACACATGCAGCTGAAACTCATGACCTGATTTCTTTTAGGTTTGCTGCAGCTGCAGCTCACCAGCACCTCTGCCTACTACACCTACCTCTTGCTGCTGCTCAAGAGCACCCTACACGGGGGCCTCATTGTCTTCTGTCTGCTTAGAGGGTCCCCTCTCTGCTGTGATGCGAAGAGCACCTGACAGACCCGGGCCCATGGTGTCTCTACCGTCTTCAGCAGCATCTTCGGAAGGTCTGCTGGGCTTGCTGAGCTCGGGCTCCTGAAGGCCACGCCACATGCACATTTTTCTGTCATTACCCCATAAAGGCTTCCCAACCAGTGGGCAAACTGCACGACTTCACGCTGCCCCAGGATGCAGCCCAAGGATGCCACCTAAGCCCCGTCTCTCCATGGTTCCCACAGCCCCTTCAGCCTGCCAGGTCCTCACAGCCTCAGTGCGCACCTGGTCAGGGATACAAGTGCTCACGGTCCAGGTCACCCTGGAAGCCTCTGCTCTACCCACCCTCGCTCGGCCTTCTTTGAAACAATAAATGAAATACATCAAACACAATGCTTTGGGCCACATGTACTTCAATTTGTGAAACTGACATGGAGGGGTCTGGGAAAGGGCGTGCGTGGAGCATGCGCGCGGGCGCGTGAAGGAGGACTCGTGAGGGGGCTCGCGCTCGGCCGTTGGGACCTCCCCTCCCCCAACGGTGGCCTGTAACGGCGGCCGTAACGGCGGCGGGCGAGTGGGGAGGCTGAGCCCGGCACTGACCCGCAGCCTCAGAACAGGGACTGTGAGGAAATGGCGGAGCGTAGGAGGAAGAAGCGCGGAGAGGCGCGTCCAGAGTCGCCCCGGCGCTGGGATTGTAGAGGGCACCACAACACTCAACTGTATCACTGTTTCTTTTTAAGCAAAATTATGCTAAAACTTTGTTTCTTCAGTCTCAATTCAATATTATTTCTACTGATTATCTTGATAGTCCCAACTAAATTAGGGTTCCAGGACCAGAGAGGTTTTAACATTTAAATAAATACATTTTTGGTAGGTTTGTGTGTGTGTGTGTGATACCAGGGAGTGAGCTCAGGTTCTTGAGCTTGCAAGGCAAGCTCTGGAACTACTGAGCTAAATTCCCAGCCCAAAATAAATGCATTTCTAAGGCATTGAGATGAGAAAATATGTCTGCTTGAAACACACTCTGTGACTATTTT